GGGGGGGGGGGGGGGGGGCGCAGCCTCCCCTTTGCAACAGAATGCTCGCGTGAAAGGATCCGCTTGCGCGGCTTAACAAAGCGGGGGGGCATGATGGGCTTCTAAAACGGAAACTCATCTACTTTGAAGCATGCGTGCACGGCTTGAAATCTCGTGGGGGTGGGGGGGCGCAGCCCCCGCTCAATTGCAAACACAATACTCGCATGATGGGTTTCGAGGAGACTGCTTTGAAGTAAGCTTGTTCGGCATGTGTTTTAATCTATTTCGTTATTCCTTCCTTCCTTCCTTCCTTTATTTATGTCTTTATTTATTTCGTTGTTTCGTTCGTTCTTTGTTTCTTTCTTCCGTTCTTTCGTTATTTCTTTCGTTCTTTCGTTCTTTTTTTCTTTCGTTCTTTGTTTCTGTATTTCTTGCTTTCTGTCTTTCTCCTTTTGGATACCTGTTTGGTTTTTGATGCCCATTTAATGGTTTTTGATGCTTATTTAATTCTTTTCCCATGCCTATCCCCCCTGGGTCCCAACTTATGCCTTGTACGCTCGGCTAAGGGTTGTTAGCTTTGCAGCTTCTCGTAGGTTTGTCGACACTGGGAGAACTGCATACGAAAGCCAAAACGGCTGTGTGGCTACGGCATTGCTGCATAAGGAACAAGATGATGACATCGTCTCGACGATTCTGTGAATATCTGAAGAGCATCCGCAGCATTTGGTGAGATTTGGCGAGCCCCAAGCCCTAAATGTGATCAAAGCAACTGTGTGCCACGAATCCTGGAGCAGCGAAATGCATCAGGTACCGCTTAGATGCCAGGCAAGTCACGCCCATGAAATCGCTAAGATGCCATTCCAGCCACCTCCCGGAGGCCAAAGCAATCGTGTTTCACGTGCCACCTCAAACCTTTTCCATGCTGCTGTTCAAGGTGGCTCGAAACCTCATCTCGTCATGTTACTTGTGACAAGTGCTGTACCTAAAGGTTCGCCAGAGCCGTGGAGAAACGGTACCTCTGTCGATGTGAACGGGCCCGAGCAGCACAACAGTGAGAGTGTTTCATTGCCATGACAGTTGCTTCAATGTGAAAGGATTGCAGCTTGAGCCTTGCAACCCCCATAAGGCTGGCTTCTTGCCTCTTTTTCAAAAGCGTGCAGAAATGCTGCTGGGTGATCCAATCGATTAAGCCGCCGTTGACACATCATGCCCTGGATCCGTATAACAGCAAATCTTTCTTGGAAGCTGTAGATTCCATCATTGCTTGCTTGACGGAAACCGCACTTTATTTTCAAACAACTTCTCGGAGCTCGCCACAGTTTGGGCAGCCTGATTCACATCGCAACCAAGTTTCTACATTACTTCACGTCTTCCGTGCATATAATTGTGTGTACCTCGACCAACGGCTGTGGAGTTGGGCTGGTGCACCCGCGATTTCTTGAACTCACTATCATCTCCCTGCACAGCTACCTCACCAGAATGAGGCGAAGGTCAAAGAAGATGGCTTCACCGCCACAGTTGGCTTTTCAATGCTTTTCACCATGGCCTCTATGAGATCACCGACCCGTACAATGAGAGGTTGGGTTTTACATGGTTTTACCATGTGTAAGGCGTCCATCGCCATGATCATATGCTTGTGACTGTGGCTGTGAAGCCATTGGATGAAATGTTGGAGTTCAAGACAGCGTCCTCCACAAGTCTCCAAATCCTTCGGTCGCGATTGGCAACCACAATGCCGGAGCCTATGGGCTCTGAAACATGCAGAGTGTCATTTGTGAGGTTTCCATAGTTGGGCTACCAAACTGAACTTGCTGCTAGTTTGTCTACCTCCTACATCTTCTGTGTACTTTGCTCTGGCCACGCCTTTTGCTTGACTTTTGCTGGAACCGACTTCAACTTCCTCGTTTCGTACAACCCTGAAGTCTTGATATTATATTATATGATGATATATGTAGTTAGATGCGCGAGTCTTCAGGCGGATGGCTTGTGCTTTTGAAACACTAGGCTCCAGTTTCTAACGACAAGCCGAGTGATGTGAAAGCACCCAAGGAATCATAGAACCCGACACATCCATTCGCCCTCGCAGCGATCACGAACCCCAATGATCAAGTCATAAAGGCGCTACAACGGAGGCAACGCGACTTCCAAGGCCTTCTCTGCCAATGCTGCGAGATCTGCCGCCAGCTTTGGCTCTTTGCAGTGCTGGCGCGTCAAACCGAGGGACAAGTCGTACCTTTCACTGCGGTTCGTTTGGCGATGTTCGCATAACTATTAATGAAACCTCAGCCAACCTGCCGATGCGTGAATGCCAGCAGACTCAATGCTTTGATCGGTGCCTACTCGGGGGGAGCACTTGTCCCAGACTTTTGTGATTCCTTCCTTGAGCTCCTGGATGCGCCTGGACAGCAATCGGGCAGCGCAGCGGGCCCTTTCTGAGAGTGCGGCCTTGGGCCGCGAGAGCTTAGCGGCTTAGCGACCCTGCTTCATAGTGCGTCTCGCTTCCCTTATTTTGGTGGTTTTGGGGTGCATATGCTTGGGGCTTCAGGGCTGAGCTCTTGGACGACCGCTTTTAGAGCCTTGGGGTGTGGATTTGGGCGCCCCTCCCGGGTCTGTGGTGGGTGGTGGCGCTCACCCACATTGCGTAGAAATGTGTGCAGGCTTCTCAGCGCAGCCCTCTCTTCCAGGCCACAGGCCGCAGGCCGTCCAGAGCTTAGCGAAGCTCCGAACGAAGCCTTTGTAGCGGCCCGTCGATGCCGCCGACCCTCCGCCGCCGCGTTTCGGTGGTCCCACTGATGCTCGCGATGCGCGCCCCTGCGGCGTCGCGCACATGCTCCGTGCCGCGTTCCGGAGCATATTTTTGGACGGCACGGTGCAGCGGATCCAAGTCCAACGAAGCTGCTTCCACCCGCGATGGTCGGCTCATGATGCGCTGCAGGCGTGCGCATAGGTTTGCTGCTTACGCTGCCCGCACCTGGCGCAGCCCCGAAATCGGCATTGATTGCTTCGTCCTACGCTCGACTTCGGGAGGTCCGACGGTGTCAGGGATCGCAGACGGGCTCAGTCGAAACAGGCGTGTGCTCTGCTCGGACGACCGACAGATGTACTAACAAAAACCTCGACGTGCATAGCCCCAAGCTATCAAGTATACCTACGTAGCAAGTTCATCAGAGGTAGGTCGTAAGCTCACCTTAAAATTTGCAACTGCATGGTGGTCGTACTTCGTACGGTCCTCGTGGCATCCCAACCTCGTAACTCAATCAGCTCAATGACAGGTGGGATGGTGGAATGGACCTGTTGACATGGTGCATCTTGTATGACGGCCTTGCATCCACAAGCTCCTGGTGAGAATGGTACTTTCTAGATTCAGAAAAAAAGGGGTTATTCGCCGTACAGGGCGAATTCTGAGTACCTCAGCGAATTCACAAGGGAACGCTGCAAAAAAAGGATGCACAAATGGACAGATTTCTCGATGACTCTTCCGAGACACCCAGTTGCGAGAACACGTTGCGCCGACAACGTGATAACAGGATGGGGCCGCAAGCGATGCACTTTCACTCCCGCTGTGCGCCTTGTTTCCAGCGACGAAGTTTTGGAAGCCTGGCCGAAGTGAAATTGACAAGTCGGTCGAAGTCAGAATATCTTCAAAATTCGAGGACAGCAACTCTGCATGGAGAAGTCGGGGATGCGCTTGGGGCGACAGGTCAACTAGCTCTAACCGATGAGGATTGCATGCAAGTTCAACGTTGTGAAGGACCACCATACTCTTTATGCTGACTGCAGCGTGCATGCTGGATGTTGCAGAAGTCCAATGGAACACGGAAGAGCAAGAGTCCTGCCGAAGAGTCTCTGAGCAGTTTCCTCTTTCTACAACCCCAAGACGCCGATACCCGAAGTATGAGACGTCAGGCAGATTGGAAGGCCGTTCCGGAGACAGCTGCACCCAGCCAGCCCGTTACCGGCATATAAACAGTAGGCACCAAGGCAGGACAAACACGGATTCGGTGCCTGCAGCAGCAGCAGCAGCAG